CTAACTTGACTTTCGGCTTAAGAAAAAATTGTGTCTATAACATCGTGGTTGTTGTAGGGCCCAACTGGACCCATACCTGCATTTTTTCCTGTTTAGATTTAAACATAATTTCTTGTGTGCATATTATTCAGCTAATCAAGACTAGAGATTACAGAATAGGATTGATCTGAAACACTAAATGGTAATGCTGTATTAGACGCAAAACTGTGAAGTGGGTCCAGTTGGACCCCACTTCATCGTCGAAGGGATAATAGAAGGTAGAAAACAAAGTCGCGAACACATACAGTTGCATCTACTCTTAATCGCTTTTACAACGAAATTTCGTGACTTATATCCCGATCGGGATATAAATTCGACTAAAATTTGTGAACGATTTTTGTTCGAAAAAATAGTTGCTGGGTGCTTGATTCACTTTTGATCAAACGCAACAGAATCCGGTGTACTTTTTCGAGCTCTTTCTAACGCTGACGCCAAATTTCCCCCCAAACGTCGTCATTTTTCTCTTAATCGTTTTTACGACGAAATTTTGTGTTTTATATCCCGATCGGGATGTTAATTTTTTTCTATATCCTGATCACGATATAGGAGGTGTCACCCTACTAAAAGAGGCCTCATAGATACCTATTGCTTGATGTAAAATTCTCAAGACCATTTTTGGACTCTTTTTCGCAATGGACTCGCGGATTATTATGCTTTTCGTAAGGAAAACCCGTTCTCTGAGAAAAATGAAGTTGGTAGTCGGAAAAATTAGTTTTTATCATCACTTGGGCTATCAGAATTTACTAAGCTGGTCGAAAAGAATCAAATTAGTTTTTTAGTCTCTAGATTAAAGCGAGAATGAGTAAAAATATCGTAGAAAATGCGTTTGAATATATATAATAATATATTTATATATGAATTTTATAACACCAATATCGTAGGTGTATTTACAAAATGAAATCAATATATATTTATTACTCATTTTTCTATTGATAGAAGAGTCACTTTCTTTCCGACTATTTTAAACCATAGAATATGATTTTTTTTGTTCCTTATATTTATTACTCATGTTATTGAAATTGAAAGGATCTTTAAAATTTGAATATTACGCCTGTATACATGTACATTTGTTCCAGCACACGATAAAGTACAGGAAAAGAAGTCTGTAGATTTACGTTTTTTATTTTACGCACACACTTTCGTGATTTATTGATACACCCAGACCCAAGCAAACATCACCTATGGGAAAAATCTAGATATATTTCATCTGTAATCGAGTTGACATCTGAATTACTAGTTGAAAAAGGGACTTTTAACTAGATGCGTCTGCATGTGAAACTAGCAACAGTTAAATCGATAGTTGCAACTTGAAGAAATCTAGCAATCGCCCGATTACTAGATTTCCACTGGCGTTACCCAATAGTTGCAATCGAGTAAAAATCTAGTAATCTAGATGAGTCGGGCGATACTAGATTTTTTCTAACGTTTGGGTAGGATAATGTAGACAAAGATTTAGTTCAGTTTACGATTAGACACCGCGGAGTATTGTCAGTCACGTCCTTCTTCTTTCACGTTAGTTTCTATTTTTCCATTCCTTTTGTCTACTAAAATAATCCTTGATTTATCACCTCAAGTTTTCATAAAAAAAGAAAGATGAACAATTCGGATTAAGCAAAATCAAATCAAATGCACTTGTTTCTGCCGACACGGATTCTACAGTCCTACAGACTCTTCTACAGTCACCCTTTCGTTTGCTGCTTTCTGAGCTCCTTCGCATATGATTTGTCTCTCTCGGGCAGCAGCTTCGTACATGAGTGTTCTATAGACGGTAGCACTTTGAATGCAGTTAGCATTTCCACCCACCATTCTCTTGAATCCAAAATATTTGCCAGGGCTGATTTTTGTGAAACCTGAAAGTGAGTGACCTTAGGATATGTAAGTAGAACAAAAAAACATTTTACCCGTTTTTACCGTTGTAGTTGTCCTTCACCTTTATTAGGTTGAATACTGACCGGACCTATGCTGATGATTCTACTAATCGTGTGCTGTCGTTCGGTATCGACCTTAGCCCAAATTGGATACGGGCAACCGTTAGTAACATGTGTTGTAGGCGCAGCTGCCATGGAAGATTGTGTACTATTCTTTTGAAGTATAAGTGAAAAAGGATCTTCGTGTTCGCTATTATCTTCTTCTCTTTTGCTACTCTTGGTCGTCAAGTTTTTTGATTTGAAAAAGTAAATTTTTTGTATGCACAGATAGGATTAGAAAGCGATGCGAAAATTTTAGGCAAAAAATTCGAAGCTCGATTTTTCTGCTTGAAAAAAGTCATATTTTTTCCAGACTTGTTTTTCTTTTAATGGAATAAAGAAATCTTTTATTTACCTGTTGAGTAACTTAATAGGAAAAAATCATTTAATATTATTTTTCATTATGTTTCATATAATTATTATTTTTTTTAAATGTTTTGACACATGAAAATAAGCTCATAATATCCTTATTATGACATCAGAATTTACCAAGTTATCGTATGTTATTTGGTTTTTTTCCCGTAAAAAAGAAAGAAATTTCCTAGTCCAACACTGTATAAAAAGATATGAAGATGTTGATAGAAATTTACTCTTTAAGTGTGAAAAAACGAAATTATTATATACGATTGAATACATTGCATAGTCATTTATTAACGAAATACACCAGAACAAATAAGTATTTTATAGACCTACATTTCTATTAGAATTTTGACTTTGCATTGCAGTATTTTTTATTTTTTTAGTTAAACGAAAACAATCACAATGGCATCCTACAATAATACAACATGGTTGCAAGATAAACTCAATGGATCTGATGGTTATTATTACCGGAAGGCTCAAAATATTTTATTATTTGATCAAACAAATTCTACATCATCCGCACTTGATCTATTTAATATTAGTGGTCCAATATTAAATCAATTATTAACATCCATGCAGATACAAGAAGCCCAAAACGCTGATTTTGAACATCAAGAATCATTCTTGTTGACAGATAAAGATTATACATGGACATTAGGTGCGCAGAAAGCTGTGAGAGAATTGTGTAAACAAATTGTAACATATTGGTTGCCATCGTATTTATATTCTGAAAAACCTGTAACCGTTTTACATTCAATGTTAATTAATAAACCATTATTAAACATACCACTTCAATTTGCAGGTTAGTAAAATTAGTAAAATTTAATATTCATATTTAGTTAAATAGATTTTTATTTTTTATTTTAGAATGTTTAGATTTTGATGTTAATAAAACATTAGATAAATATAAAGATATTTTTATTCCATTACATTATCATGAATTATGGTCAGAATTTATGAATTCATATAATGAAATTGATCATAATGATGGACATCATATAAAAATAAAATTTTATAATAAAAATTATATTGATAAACAATCAAATGCCAAAATATTACTTGGTCAAGTATGGACCAACTATATTAATAATTTAAATCCACAATCTCGAGTTTTATCACCATACGATGTTATTCTATTAATAATTAATAATATTCAATATTTTGGAATTATTGTTTATGCACAACATAAACATATAAAAAGTAAGGAAACATCAATACCAAGAGAAAATATAACCGTTGATAAATGGACAATTGTTCAATCTAAAAAAGAAAATCAATCAAATCAAATCGAATTAGAAACAAAAATATATTCACAAATTGGAATTTATGTATCAGATGAATGTTATGAGATATTTCATAAAAATCATAATATTGGTCAACTTATGAATATTATACGATTAACAAGTCTAACACCAACTAAACGACATATTACAGCTATTATGAATCTTTCTAGTTGGCCACAATATAAAAGTTTACTTGCACCATCATTAAATGATCCATATTATCAATTGGCTGACCAATCCAACGTCATTATCGAAAACTGTAGTTTTAATCAAGAACAAAAAAAAACAATTCAAATTGCTGTTAATATGTTTGACGATATACAAGAGCGACTTTTTCTGATTGATGGTCCACCTGGTATGATATTATTCTTCTATTTCAAATTATATACGATTAAATATATTTTTTTATCTATAGGTACAGGTAAAAGTAAAACAATCGCTGGTATCGTTGGTCATCTATTAGATAAATTAGATGGTAATAAAAAAATATTAATATGTGCACCATCAAATACAGCATGTGATGAATTAATGAAGAAAATACTTGAATATTTTAATCAAACAAATCAAGCAATAGCAGGTAAAGGAAACAATAAATAAGTCATAGTGAGAAACTTACTCGAATTCCGATCTTTTTAAGATTTCGGTTAAGATCTCAAATAAATCTTATCAAGTTCGTAAGATCCGAGAATTTTAAGACTTAGTAAGATTTTATCAAGATATTAGTTACTTTATCGAAGACTTTTTTGAAATTGGATGAGGGCCTGCTAAGATCTTATTAAGAACTATCCGGTTTTAAGGAAGATTTATTTAGTATTCACTAGGAATATCTTGTACAAGTGTCTTTTAAACAGGCGAATTCTGAAACTGCCAAAAAATATTTTTAACCGAAATCGGTGCATGTCCAGCAAATAGAATTTCCAGAAAAGCTTTGCATGCTTATTTATAAGAATAAGAGCAACAAATAAATGGAAGTCAAGTAATCAAATCAAATCTAATTCAGATCATACTGGAAATTCAGTGCCGGAAATACAAAGATTAGCAAAATAAATTTTTCTTTGAATCATACACCATTGTATAGAGCTCTTCATACTGATCACGAATATCTATTTTGTAATTTTGTTTTTGATCAAGTTTCGGATGAGAAATCTCAAAATACAACTTTCTACATTAAAAACGAAAAATGGACTAATCCCGGGAATTTTTGAAATTTCAGCTATTCTGCCGACATTCCACTTTCTTGAAACTACTTTATTCTGATTGAGCACCAAAGATTGAGTAGAACAAAGCAGGTTTGTTCGAATTTGCTCGCAACACGCTCGTTCGATAAGGCCGACTATGGGCATCAAGGTACACACTGATTCCTGGGTCTGTTAAACCTATCTTCTTTTTTGTTTGAGGAAGTAAAATTTTTGAAAAAGCAAAACGTACTTTTGTTGTCCATTAATCGACGATTCGAATGACGTGTAACAGAGAATTTTATTTTAAAAGGAGATCGGTTTGAAAGATCCGAAGGTCAGTGTGCACAAATTTTAATCGATGTACAATTGAAAAACAAATTGAAAAGAAAATATTAACAAAAGCCAAAATAATTATATCAACATTAAATTATAGTGCATCATCCCGTTTAAGATTATTAAATAATTTTAAAACATGTATCTCATTTATTATTGTTGATGAGGCATGTCAAGCATCCGAAGGTATGTAAACCTTTTCGTTTCGAGTTTTATTTTTCTAACCCTTCACCCTTCCCCTTCCCTTGGTCACTGGACTGATCATTTGTAGTTAGGTAGGCACCAACACAATATGTTGGGTCGCAATAATATTGGTTACGTAATCTATTGGGACCAATAATATTGGTCGTCTGATATATTCACAATATTATTGGGTATTGGGCCACTTCAGTTCGGCCTACTTTTACAGTACAGAAGCATGCTTTATATCCCGTTTTGAATCAAAAAAATAACCCAATTGGGCATGCACCGATTAATAATCAATATTAGGACATTCAGCAAAGTCGTTCCAAATCAGTTATGAAAAATCTCTTAGAGCTGCCGAACGTCTCATTTTATAGGAAAATGTTTTCTCTACCAAACTGAAGTGCTACAAACATTTTAATATAGAGAAAAAACAATAAATCAAAAAACGTACTATAATCATAGAAAAATAATCGACAGTCGCTTTTTTCGCAATTTTGCTCATTTTTGGATGCTTATATTTCTGTGGCAGATAACACTAAAATGTCTTTTTGTACTTCAGTTTGATTAAGCAAACATTTTTCTACAAAACGAGACATTCGGCAGCTGTAAGTGCGTTTTTATAACTGATTTGGAACTACTTTGCTGGATGCCCTAATATCGATTGTTAATCGGTGCATGCCTAATCCCGATCGGGATATGCTTCCTCATGTTTTTATGAAGATAAATGATATTAAGGTTAAAAAATTGGAATCAAGTGTATTGTGGAACCCAATACCACCCGATATTATTGGTCCCAATAGATTGGGTGACCAATATTATTGGTCTCAATATACCCAAGCGTCAAAAAAAAATCTAGTATCGCCCGATTCATCTAGATTACTAGATTTTTACTCGATTGCAACTACTGTGTAACGACAGTGGAAATCTAGTAACGGGCGATTACTAGATTTTTTCTAGTTGCAGCTATCGATTTATCGCCCGATAATCGATCGATTTAACTACTGCTAGTTGCACGTGCAGACGCATCTAGTTAAAAGTCCCTTTTCCAACTAGTAATCTAGATGGCAACTAGTCGTGTA